ATATATATATATGACTCTGTGAAGTCATTCTAGTATTCAAATTTCTTTTATAGTCAGTGCCATATGCATATCTCCAATTTCTCTTGCAGGTAAATTCTGTTTCATTGTACTTTGTATTTCTGAAGGCAGACTAATATGACTCAAAGGAAAGATTGCCCTAGTTTTATGGTTTGTGATTGATTTTGACTAGTGTGTTGACTAGCCAGAGGGCCAGAGGAGAGGAATGAGATCAGGAGATTCATTTCCCTGTATGGCCTTTGAAAATTGGTTAACACTTCTTGTACGTGTTTAAAGAAATATCTGTACAGAAAGTATGTTGAAAATGCTTCTCTTATGCTTTTCCCGAATAATCTACCAGTCTCATCATTTTGTCGGAATTCAGCTTCATTGCTATAGGGAAAATGATGGCACTATCTCCTCTACATAAAGTCTATTCCTTTGTAGCACATCCTTTTGTAAATAAATTCTCCTTGAGTTACTTAAATTTGTGTGCTACGTGATTTCATCTGGGAGGATAAACAGCATTTTATTTAATTCTTCTATGATTTTTGTTACTTTAAGTCATGAAGTGTTATGACTTCATTATTTAGACTTTAATAATTATTATATTTTTTTCAGCCTTGGTGTTAATATGGCATAATTTGCAGCTTTGTTTGAAAACATAACTGCTCAGACTAGTTTCCCCATTTAAATGGATCAAATGGATCTTATTTGCTTCTTAAAGAATTTGCAATACTAACCTTTATGCTTCAGATTCCTAATAAAGTCAAGTAACATAAATTAAAATTCTTAATCCATTGATGATACTAGCTATAATATAAACTCAGAAGACAATTTTTGATTACCTAGCACCCATGCCAAAATAGACACGCTTTGTTCTTAATTTTTATGCCCTATTCCAAATTATTTATCATTTCCCTGTGCCAGAGGATGGATTTTCTTGAACTTCTGAAATGTTTTACAAAGAAGGTACCTCTTTGAAGCATCAGTTTTTGTAGTAATCCTGTTCTATCTCTTTATTTCATAAAGGAACAATTTTCATCTTTCCATGTGAGCTTAAAAATTTGGCCTTCAGCAGGCAAAACCAACACATTCTCCCCTACTCTGCCAGAGCAAGGTAAGGGTAGTAATAGCTAAAATCATATCTGATTTTAGTTTTCTTTTTGTTTCAGATGCTATAAAATTCCTCTCATACAATATATCAATAATTTCATCCAATATATCAATGCATGAGACCAGGAGGATAATCAGGTAATTTGACTTGTTATATTAATAGAACTCAAGAGTACTTTAGGTTTTTTTCTTCTCTAAATCTTGTGTTTTAGATATGAATTGGGTCATATTGTATCTTTTAAAATATCTAGCATATACAAGGCATTTAGTAAGTATATATGTAGAATAATGTGCATGGTTTGGAGATATCAATCTTATAAAGTAAATTCTACATAAAAATGTTACAAATATCAAGTGTTGTGGTACGCACCTATCTATAAACTCAGCATTCTGGGAGGTGAGAGCAAAAGGATCACAAGGTTAATGCCATTCTGGCAAGGCTCTGTCTCAAAATAAAGAATTTTTGTACTATCTCCTCTTTTCCTCTCCTTTTCTCCTCTTACTCTGGTAATTACCAGTTTCTCAAGAAGGAAAAATTAAAAATATACATCACAGTGCACCATGTTATGAAAAATGTGTTATATATTTAATATGCTGTGTACCTTATACAAATTATTCTTTCAAGTTTTTTCCAAATCATATACATAGTCAACACAATAACAATACAGATTTGGATAGAGTTTTTAATGAAGGATAAACATTGAGAATTTATGAAACTTATAATGAAGAGTAAAGACAAAAACAGTATAACAATGTATTAAGATTTACTATAAAGGAAAAGTAATTAAAATATCATGATATTGGCCCAGATAAAGATAGAAATTGATAGAGAAGAATCAAATATCAGAAGCAAAGTTGTACATATAGGAGCACTTGTATGGTAAAAATGGCAGCACTAGTAAATAACAAAAACAAACATGGCTGTATGAGAAAAGGGCATAAAACCGGAGTGAATTTCTGGTTGTAATGAAGATTGTTCTGGGATGTTCAACCTTTACCTTCATTCAAGAGATCAGAGATGGAGATTCATGAGAAGCCTATCAAGGTGTGGATTTGCTACTCTGACTTCAACGTAGAACAAAAGTGACATGGTTAAAATAGGCTGGGAATATTGGCTTTGACAATGGGGCTCTGTGCTTTGATAAAACACCAAGTTTCACTTTGTATTTGTGTCCACGTGGCTTAGGCATTGTCTGAAGACAGTGGCATCATTTTTATCTTAATGAAAGAAATTAGAGTGACATTTCAGTAACTATTTTAACAAATACTTATTAAACTTGTTGCAAGAAGAACCTTTACTGAAATGTAGGTGAGGAAATCAGCAAGAATATGATACTTTCTTGAACTCAGATGACTTTTTCTATACAGGCTATAAAAGGAACATCATGAAATACTATGAGAAATAGGATATTATACTTTAAAATGAGATGAAATAAAGGTTAAAAGGAGAGCAGAGCAGTTTTTCTAACTTGGTCTTGAAACTTTCCTAAAGATTGTTGTTATATTTTATCTTCTGGCTCCTTCTTTCTTCACCTGTATTTCTGATTTGCCTCCTTGTGCCCAAAATCAATGAAAAGTCTCCATTATCTGGATCATCCACTGAGGCACAGCTGGCCAACCAAAAGATAGGATTGAGGCATGACTCAAATAGCATCACTGTATCATAGGTAGTGTGTATTTATTTTTCACAACACACCCTACCTTTTAAAGCTTATTTTGTGTGTTGTGGAGAGCTTAAACCAGGCTGAGATATGCTCAGCCACAAAGTTTAATAAAGTTTATGTAGCAGGAAGTCATATAATATCATAATTCAAGACTAAACTGATGACCACTATGCTGTGTGCATTAGAAATTTAAGTGATTTAGTATTAGAGTTTTTCTTAACAAATAACAATTCTTTTAATTTTCTAATTATTAAGGGCTTCATTTGTCCAACAACCACTACTTACAAATAGTGACACAAAGTAGGGAAATCTATACATGTGTCACCAAGTAGGTAAACTGATCACAACATTCTTCAAGGAATTACTTGTACTCACTGGAAGTTCCTTTTTAGCAGATTGTTTTGCTGCCTTTGGATATTAAAGAAAGCCAAGAAAATACAATAAACTCAGGTATTTTGTCTAGCTGTGTTCCTTGGGTTGCTGTGGGAGGTTGGAAAGAATCTCTTTCTTGCTTTCCTTGCTTTTAGGAAATTCTGCAGAAGTAAGACATGCTTTTATCTATGCTGTTCTCAGAGAGGAAAAGATGCCCCTGCATGCCAGGAGAGTAGAAGAAGTGGAAGGATCTCGCTACCTACTTGTTCCTACTCCCATGGGAGGACTAAGCCAGAAGAAGTAGAGGAGGAGATGTGGTTCCATGGCACAGTAGTAAAGTTAAGAGTTTATCTTTTTGTGCACACATCTCCTCCCTCTTTCTGGGCTGAAACTGCCTCTCCTTTTTCACAAGGCCTAATGATGTCCAATTCTGCCTATGTCTCATTTAGGTGTGTGGTTTTTCCATCTTAGCCTGTCAAAAGGCTGATATTTTGTATCTCATATGATTAACTCATAATTCTTTCTCTGAACGAGAACTCAGTGGTTAAGAGGAGTGATTTTTAGTCTTTTTCAAGATCTAGCATCCCACTGAATCATGCCTACATAATCTATCCATCCAGGAATTCAATTTTGCAGATGTTACAAAAGACTGTTTGGGGAAGAATAACTTTCCCCTCCTTGAAGAATAATTACCCAAATCTGTGTCAATATACCATACTTTCTAGACAGGAAGAATACAAAAGTCTTAGATGTTTGAATTAGTATACTATTTTTAAATGAATAATGATGCAAACTGAATTTTGTTTTACCTTAATAGTAATTGTTCTTTAAATTTATTATTCAAAATTTATACTGACACTGCTTGTGCTTTCAGGCCTGCCTGGTAGCTATTTTTCAGTCACAGATGTATCATCTGCTCATGGTAGTGTCTGATACATTGTATCAAGAGACCATCATCTCCACCAATCACATCTTCTGCCCTCTCTTGGTTAAGCCAGCCTGGAGGTTGAGTACTTTCATCCAAGTTGTGTTTAATACCACAGTCCCCCTGGAATCATTTCAAAATCCTCCTCACTCTGTCTTACTATCTTCAGCCTTGTAAGAGAATCCTTGGAAGAACCAAACCCTTTAGGAAGGGCCCACATGACCCATATCAAGGTCCTTTATCAAGGCCCATCAATCCATTCATCTTACTGTTTCCTGACTTTTACAACAAAACCTCTTGAGTTTTCAGTGATAGTAGACTTAAAGCCATTTGGCTTTAAATCTACTATCACTGAAAACTCAAGAGGTTATATCCATATAGAGTAATAATTAAGTGAATATATATATCTTAAGATTAATATAAGTATTATGTAATGCAGAAATATATATGAACTCTAGAGTCACAGTATCTTACTTCTAATTCTGTACTGTTGCTTTCATCTGTGAGCCCGCTCGCAAAACGAAGTTCAGGAACCCGGACTGGGAGGGCAAGGCAAGGAATCACCACTTAAGACTCCAGGGAGGTTTCTGGAATACTTCCGTTTTATTGAGGAAATGTACAGACGTATATAGGGTAAGGTGGGGGTGGAGCCAGGGTGGTGCTATTGGATCGGTATTGGATAGGGTAAGGCAGGGGTGGAGCCAGGGTGGAATCAGGATATTTGACACATAGTTATTGGCCACTTGCTAATTTTTGGATTATATGTTTTAAGGGTTGAGGTGAATGGAATCAGGACTTTAGAGGTTTTTGAGAGAAATAGTTTATCTGTCTAGGTCAGATCTCTACACGCCCAAGGGGGTGGATTAATCCAGCCCTAATAGACCTTGGAGTTTTCTCATGAGAGATGGGTGCAGCGCTCCTGACTCAGCAAGACCTGAACCTGATCCTCAATGTACTACATGGGTAATATTCAACAGGAAATCTAATCTCTCTATAATTCAGTTTTTCCACTTATAATATGAAAACAAAACAGATCTCACTATGTAGTGCTGCACCGAGAATTAAATGGAATTGTTCATCTACTGTGCCCCAACACACAGTATATAGCAAATATACTGTTCTTAGTATCATATTTTTCTTTAGCTTGGGTCAAGTTTTACTTTCATAACCATAACCCCTTAATTATTTGAATGCAATATTTTCTTTATGTTCAGATCACTAGAAGATAATACAGCAAATTTCCTTGTGAACATACTCTGGCATTTCAAAAATTATTGTGTCATATTTATTTGAAAGTTTTTTAAATGAAAATGAACAATTACATATTTAGTTAAATATCTTATATTTTCCCCCAAGGCAATTTTTATTAAATAGTAATGGTTATCTTCACATTCATGGCTAGTATTGTACTTTGACTAGCATGTATTACACACAAAAAAAATAGAATGTTTATATGGCTTAGCCATTTATTTTGATAAAGAGTACCATAAATTTAATATCATTTTGAATCTATCTTTTTTGACTCAACATTAGGACTTAACATATATCTATATTTAAAACTTTTAGTATATTTCATTTAACTACTGTATTTCTTCAGATGAATATATTATGGTATATCTATAACTCTAATAACCATTTACATCATTTTAGTTATATTAGTCTTGCAAAATAAGAAGTAGAATTAAACATACTTAGTTACTAAACTGTGAAAACATGCAAGTTAGGATTATGTAATTAGTTAGATGTTTTTTCATAGACCCATATCTTTACAGCTTTACTAGGTAATGTCCAATAACTTTGAAATGAACTAAGAATTGACACTTTTACTCAGAGTAATTAAGTCAACTTTAAATTATTAATTGTGTAATTAAAAGGTATTTTATATCTTCTATGTCAGATGGATAACAATAATGTCTTAGTTATATTAGTGTTTCTGTGATTACTCACGTTTGAACCTCTATATATTTAATAGTGTCTTCTTATATTAAAGGTAACGATGTCACGTTGCTGTTAAATTAAAGAGTCAGGGAGAGAGGGAGGAGGGGAAGGGAGAGAAAGGGGGAGATGGAGAGAGAGAGCTCATGGGCTTTGGGATAACAAACCAATGCCGACCAAGAGAAATTCCTGTGATCATGGAAATATATATTTGCTATCTCATATGGTAGCCAGTAGCCATACATAGTTGTCAGGCACTTGAAATATGGCCGGTGTGACACAAAAGCTTAATTTTAAATTTTGCTTTATTTTAATTAACCCAGATGTAAATAACCATGTGCGACTGTGACCACATATGGGACAGTGCTGTGGGACTTTTTGCGCTCCCACTCCCCAGACTCTTATTTCCTTGCCTCCTTAAATCTCAAGGTGGGTAGACACATCCTGTGCTTTTGATGACTGTGGATAAGAAAAATAATGTCATACTTTGAAAATATTAATTTATAGTATTTAATCCAAATTTGTGGATTTAATTTTGGCCTATTTCTATATGTGTAACATATTTGGATTATTTTTATTTTCCATTGCCTCTATCCTTCTCTCTCTGATTCTCTTTCTCTTCAGTAATGGAAAGAAAATAATCTTTAAAAGTTTGGCATCAAGAGTTTGCTGAATGCATACCCAACTTCAAGGTCCGCCAAGAAATTAAAGGTTGCACCTAACCTCTCTTCCAGCTGGTTTAGTGTTTCTGCTTCAGTATTTAGATTTTTAATCAATTTCAATCTTAGTTTATTGCAGGAAAAGTTTTCATGAACAAAACCTCAGTAGCACTGGAATTAACACAAAGAATCAACAAGTGAGCTCTCTTCTTATGAAAAACCTTCTGCCCAGCAAGACAAACCACCAAAAGCATGAAGAGAAAACCCACAATTTGGGAAAATTTTGTCACCAGCTGTTCCTCAGGCAAAAGACTGCTATGTAGAATATATAAAGAACTTAAAAAAGTCAGACTCCTCAAATTTAAAAATCCAATCCAAAAATGGGTATCTGAAATGAACAGACATTTCTCAGACAAAGAAGTAGAAATAGCAAATAAACATATAAAAATGTTTAGCATCACTGGTCATTAAGAGATGCAAATGAGAACACCTCGTCCCAGAAGGAATGGCTGCTATCATGAAATCAACCAATAACAAATGTTAGAGGGGTTGTGGGGAAAAAGGAACCCTTCTCCATTGTTGGTGGAAGTGCAGACTGGTGCAACCACTGTGGAAATCAGTTTGGTGATACCTCAAAAAGCTAGGATTAGAGGTCCCATTTGACCTAGCTATTCCAATACTGGGTATCTTCCCAAAAGAATTAAAATAATCATATCACACTCATATATTCGCATCTATGTTCATAGTGGCACAGTTTGTAATAGCTAAAATTTGGAAACAGGCCAATTGCCTATCAACTGGAAACTGGATAAAGAAAATTGGAGTCATTCATAGGAAAATGGATACATATTGAGGATATACTCCTAAGTGAAATAAATAAGTCACACATGTATAAATACAGAGTAGTTTCTCTGGTGTGAAATACTATAATGGTACACAAGATCCTAATGGTATAATTGACAATATGAAATAGGAAGAAAAGGGCTAAAGGTGTAGGGGAAGTGGGAAGGGTAGGGGAAAGTAAGTAAGGGAAAAGAAAAAAATATGAGAAAATGAAAAAATGGAAATAAAGTATTTGTAAATAGGGAAGGGAGGAGGGGTGATGGGAGGGCAGGGGTTAAGGGGAAAAAATGAGAACCAAGACCTGTCATGTAAAGGTACAATATCCCAATGATGAATGTAACTGTACTGTACACCTAAAATGTACCAATAAACACAATGAGAAAAAAATAAGAAAATGTTTTTGTTTTATGAAGTGGAGTGCTACTCAGCCATAAAGAATAAGAAACTAGAGACATTTTTAGGCAAATGGATGTATATTGAGGAGATACTCTTTTAAGTGAAAGACATAGGACACACGTGTAAATATTGAATTGTTTCTCTGGTGTAAGAAACTGAAAGTGTAGATAAGGATAAAAATGTATAATAGATCACGTGAAATGGACGAAAATGTGTAAAGGTGAAGGTGAAGTGGGAGGTGTAGGAGAAAGGAAAGAAGGGAATGGAATTAATATGAGAAAATGAAAAAATGGAAACAAAGTCTTGGTCAATAGGGAAGGGTGGAGGGGTAGGAGGGAAGGCAGGGAATGGGGAAAAAGTAAGAATCAAGATATATTATGTAAAGGTACAAATATCTAATGATAAATGTCATATTTAATACCTGAAATGTGCCAATAAAATTAATTTTAAAAAAGATTTAAAAAAATTTCAAAAAGGAAATTAAGGGCTGCCAAGAAATTGAATCTAAATATGTAGTCAAGAAGAAAAGCAAATGAATTTGATGATAGCTTGAGTTCTTTGTTGCTCGAGCTTGACCAATATTTCTTCCATTCTGGGGCTCTGCTATACCTTAGTCTTTTTTTTTTTTAGTACCAGGTTTTGAACTCAGGACCTTGCTCTTGTGAGGAAAGTGGGGGCACCTGTGAGTTAAATCCCTGGCCTTACCTAATTCTTAATATTAATGTTTTCTTATCATGCCAATGTAAATCTCTAGCTCCAATCTCTCCTTAAAATTCCAACTTATATATAAAAGTAAGTAAAGTACAAAACAGAACACTTGATTACTTTTCCAGCATCAATTCACTCTTCTCACTGCTCAAATCAAATTTCTTCTTTTACTTCAAGAAAAAAAGTGCCTAGTAGCATCCTTGCTTTGCCTTCTGTTTCCCACACTCAATCTCCAGTGTGTTTCTTCTCTGAGGCTTGACTTCAAATTGTATTCAGAAATGGACAACTTCACATGACTTGCACTGCTGGTCTCATTCACAGCTATCATCTCACTTAGATGATGGTAAACATTGCTTCACTGATCCATCTTTGTGTGTGTGTGTGTGTGTGTGTGTGTGTGTGTGTGTGTATGTGTGTTTGTGTGTGTGTCTGTGGTACCTGGGATCAAACTTGGGACTTTGCACTTATGAGGCAGGCAGTGGAATCACTGAGCTAAATCCCTGGCCCTGATCCATCTGCTTTATACTTGGTCCTAGTTCAGTTCTCAGCAGGAAGCCACAGTAATCTATGTAGGGAATAAAGTGGATTTTGCCACATTGCATTTTCAGACTTATGCTGCTTTCATCCCTTCTAAGAATGAAAATATGCCCCTCAGGCAACAAAAACATCTGTTATTTCAGAACAGAACAATTAAAATATGTTCATCCATGGTCAAGATCTCTAAATTCCAACTTGATAGATCATTACTTGTTCTGGGAAGTTTGTTTCCCACTTTCCTCATGTAACTGACAGAAATTATATAGAATAATTATTTCCCCTTTGTGACATTGGAAATTAATTTTTCTTTATTTTCTCCTGAGAATATCATAAATAATGAGGTATGTAATAATTTTTAAGACATTGAGCATAAAGGCCGAGGACACTTCATGATTTTGTTCCCAGTTTACTGTAATTTATGTCATATAGTCAGAATGAAACAGCCCAAATCTTTCAGTACTATCTTTTCCTAATGGCAGCTGACAAATTTTACCATGTCTTCCACAGGAAGCAGAACATCCCAAGGCCTGTGCCATTGACCCAAAGGGCTGGCACAAGGGAAGGACTATATAATATTCCCACTGTTTTATTACAACTATTTTATTACATGTACTTACTTGCCAACACTGGGAATATTTGGCAACATTATTAAATCTCTCTATGGCTTAATTTCTTCATCTAGAATATTCAGACAACCATATTCTACTATAGAGACTTTTTATAAGGATGAATAAATCTCATATTAATCATTTAACAAATAATGACTTACATAGCATTGTTGATGTTGTGGGTTATTATGAAGCGATTTAGTATGAAATAACCATTTACAATAGAAAACAACCCCCTTTCCATCAGCTCAATAAAATTCTGTTGTTTAAAACAATTCAGTGACTGAGTATAGTAGATGGGCTGATTCCTCAAGAAGACACTTCTACTGTTTTACTATGCAATATATTTGACGTTATAAATATATATATATATATATACATATATATGTATATATATATATATGTATATATATGTATGTATATGTATACTTTCCCATAATGGGACAGAAATATTTCCTCCTTTTATGGGTGTAATAATCATACTCTACTTGCCATTATTTTAAAAACAAAATACCAACTCCAATGGGAACACTAAAATTTCAATCATTATCTTCATCAGGATGCTCTTAACATATTATTTAAAGGTTAATAGATACGCTGGAAGATGAGGGGAACATGACCGTCCTCATCACAGGAGGGATCTGATTTTTTGTCATATAATGGATATCTATTGCCCAAGTGACCCTTTTATGTCACCTTCCAGCACTGTTCCCTTCAGCTAAGGTTGCTAAAGAACTGGTTTAAATTTTGTGTAGAATTTAAAAGTTTAGATTGAATCAATTGTGATCATACATCTAATATCTAAAACTGATAATGAAGATGATGCATTTTGAAATCTTACATAATAGTTTTCAAGGATTTTGCTGATGAGTACTTCTTATACAATAAAACATGTATAGTCTTTGTTTAATGTCTTTGAAACTGAAGACTATATAATCAAGTTGAATGTAGGGTACATTTTCCCTATGAATGATACTCTATGACTGTCTACAAAGTTAACGAGTACTTCCACATTGAGTTCACATATTTGACTAGAACCAGAATAAAATCTTGTGCAGTTAAAAGATGTTGATTTTTAAGTTTTCTTTTTTTGAAAATAATTTTGTAAGTTTAACTGAGATAATGACATTTATTATATAAAAGCTATCATGCTAGGATTTTTGAAATAACTGACCTCACGTTCTACTTTCCTAGGACAGATCTGCTTTCTACCTCTTATATTATGATTAACAACATATTCTTTCCACTTCAGTTGTCCCTCTTTGAAAGATAAGATCAGCCCGCTTAGAGAAGACAAAAATCTAACTTGCATTCTGAAAGATGAACAAAAGTTGGGTGAAGATTGCTATTTTAGTTCCTTGGCTCCCTGCTGAGACGAAATTCCTGACATCCAAATTTAAAAGAGGAAAGGTTTATGTAGCTCACAGTTTGTAGCAGTTTCAGTTCATGGTTAGCTGACTCCAAAGCAGGGTGGCGTGGCAGAGGGGCATCGCAGAGAGGAAACAGAGATGGAAAGAAGAGGAAACCAAAAGCAAGCCAGTGACAAGCTTCTTTCTCTCCCTTAGATCTTATCCAGACTACTCACACCCTTAGTCCACGAGCCCTAATCCTAGCACCATGAATCAATCCCAGTATCACACACTCTAGATTCAGCCACCCCTGAAAAATTCCACTTATGACTGCATGAGGCTTTGGGGAGACATCCAGATGCAAGCCATAACAACCTCAAAGCTGGCAAGAACGTAAAAGCAGAAGGAATATATTTTACAAGAACCCTAGCAATAAACATTTTTGATGATTCACATGTTCAGGGTGAGTGGAGCGTAGCCTTGAGGAATATGAGGTGTTCAGAGTTAGGTCTAAATAAGAAGGCAGGATTCATTCTACTTCTGTAATCTTGTGGAAGCCTGGAAGTCTTTAGAAGTTCTATCCTGCTTTACCTCACCACAATCTGTAATCTCCTTCTATTATTTTAAATTAGGACTTGTCGCTGCATCTTTGGCTCATGACTTTGCTAATCATAAATTTGGGCCTGGCTGGAGCTTTGAGTGTTTCTTTTAACAGTTACTAAGAACGTATTTGATTCTCCAATTGACCTCCCAGGAAATGCAAATGTTTCATGGCCCCTGCCACAACCTAGTATTAAAAAAGAATGGGTTTAAATTGGTTGCTTGTTTTTTTTTTTTGTTTGTTTGTTTTTGTTTTTTG